CCCCCCCCCCAAATCCCAGGGCCCTCCCAAATCCTGGGGTCCTCCAAGCCCCAGGAACCCCCAAAACCTCAGAGGCCCCCAAATCCAGGGGGTCCCCAAACACTGGAACCCCCCAAGCCCTGGAATCCCCCCAGACCTCAGGGAATCCCCAAACCCCAGGGTCACCCCCGGGCCCCCAGACCCCCCCCGGACCCCAATCCCGGGCACCCCCCACACCAAAGGCATCGACGCAGCCCCGCAGCAGCTCATCCAGGGTGGGGGCTTGATCCAGGTCCAGGGAGCAGCTCATGGTGGGACCCCAAAACTGGGAGGACTGGGGGGGAGTGTCAGCACCAGGCACCCACCGGGACCTCCCAAACTGGAGCTGGGAGGGCCCGAGGGGTCCCTGTGTCCCGGGGGTCCCATTTCGGGGGTCCCTCGGGCAGGAAGGGGCTGGTTTGGAGGGGCTGGGAGGGATCTGGGGGAGTTCCTTGGGGGTCCCACTTCCCTGGGCCCCACAAGTCCCAATTTGGAGGTCATAGGGTGGGGGTGTCTCTGGCTCTGGGGGCCTCGGTTTAGGGGTGCCAGACCCCTCTGCAGCCCCCCCGCCCCAGACGGGGTCTTGCACAAGCGTTTGCACAATCCTCGCGGGCGGGGGGGGGTCCAATTTCCCCCCTGCTCTCCCTGAATCCCTCCCGAGCCCCCAGTTTCCCCCCTCCTGGGTCCTGCACACCCCGATAACGCGGCGCTTCCTGAGCCCCAGTTCCGGAGCGTCCCAGTCCGGGGGTGGGACACACGCCTGGGGGGACTGGGAGGGACTGGGGGAGACTGGGGGGCCTGGGGGGAACTGAGGGAGTGAGGGATACTGGGGGCATTGACGGGGGGACTGGGAGCACGAGAATGGGGGTGTCCCGGGGCACTGGGACCGCTGGAACTGGGGGTACTGGGACAGGGGTACCCCGGGCACTGGAATGAGCAACGCGATGGGGTTGCTGGAAAAACTGGGAGCGCTGGGACAGGGCCAGTGCTGGGAGCACTGAGCACACTGGGACGGGGTCATCTCGGGGAACTGGGAGCACTGGTGGGGGGCTCTGGGAGGACACGCGGGATCCCGCACTGCCCCGCTCCTCGCTCCGTCCCCCTCCCCGACCCCAAGACCCCTCGGGGACTCCCCGGATCCCCCCGAGACCCCCCAGAGTCCCCCGGGACCCCCGAGACCCCCCAGCCCGGACCCACCTGCTCTGGTGGCTGCGGCCGTGGCGGGAGGACCCGGGAGGGGCGGAGCCGGGACCTGGGGGAGCTTGGGGCGGGTTCGGGGGGGTTTTGAGGTGCCCGGGATGGGTGGGGAGGGGGGAAGTGGTTTGTGGTTAAACAGAAACGCGGCGCCGGGAGCGCCCCGGGAGGGGCGAGGAGGGTGGAGGCCCCAGAACCACCCCCCGGAGGCCGGAGACCCCCAAATCCCTCCCACAAGAACCCCTTTAGACTCCCTAAAGTTCGAGGAGGAACCTCGATCCCAGGGGAAGGGACATGAAAAATCCGGAATTTCTCTAACTTCTTTATTTTCCTTAATTTAATTCCTTTAATTATTTTAATTCCTTTAATTCCTTTATTTCCTTTATTTTTAGGGGAGGGACCCCCCCCAGTTCACCCGGTGATGCTGTGGGGTCCCCCCAGTTCCCGAGGTGGAGGCAGAGGGGGGAGCCTCCCTTAATAAATTAAAAATGATCAAATGAGCCCCAGACTGCCCCAAATGTCGGGGATCCCCCTGAGCCCTCCCAGCTAATGTGAGGGAGGGGATTTAGGGAGGCCAAGGCACGTGGTGGGGCCCGGGGGGTCCCAGGTGTGTGGAACAGTTGGGGGGAGGGTTTGGAGGGCGATCGGGGGGGCTGAAGGCACACGGGGGGGTCGGGGCGGTCCCTGGGCGCGGGGGTTCAGCACTGCCCGGGCTGGGGGCTCCGGGGGGGTCCCGGGCGGGGGGATCCCCTACTCGTCGGGGGCGGGGATGCGCTGCCGGGAGGGTTCGCAGCCCCAGATCTCCCGCGCGTACTGAGCGATCGTCCGGTCGCTCGAGAACTTCCCAGAGGCGGCGATGTTCCGGATCGCCATCCGGGTCCATTCCCGCTGGTTCTGGGGGAGGAGCCGGGGGGGTCAGGGGGGGTGGGAACCCCAAAAGCACCCGCGGGACCCCTCTGGGGCCCCCCACCCCCGCCTGCAGCTCGCAGTCCCCTCCCAGACACCCCTGAACCCTGCATCCACCCCTTCTGTTCCCATGGGATTTGGGAACCCCATTGTACCCCCTCCGGGGTTTTGGGGACCCCTTTGATCCCCCTAACCTCATCTGCACCCGCTGTCCCCTCATAAACCCCACGGACCCCTGGGGAACCCCCCGAGCCCCTCAGTGCCCCCCCATTTCTCCCCGTGGGGTTTTGGGTACCCTCCATCCTCTCCCGAGGGTTTAGGGACTCCCCAAAACCCCCATCCCCCCTCCAGGATTTTGGGAACCCCCTGAAACCCCCATCACCTCCCCATATATTTGGGGTGACCCCTTTGGGGGTGTCACTGTGGGGGTCCCTTTTGGGGGAGTCCATTTTGGGGGGGTTCCCACCTTGTAGAGGGCACTGACTTTCTCTTGGCACTTCACATACGCCTCGTAATCAGCGAACACCTTGAACCTGGGGGGGGGAATTGGGGGGTCAGGGGGAGCCCAGGGGTCTGAGACCCCCCCCAGTCGCGGGGGGTCTGACAGCTGAGCCCACCCCCACCTCCAACCCCCCCAAATCCCCAGAACCCGCGTCCTCTGTCGCCCGGGGACCCCCCACCCAGGAGAGCCCAAACCGCCGCCTCCCCCCCGACAGGGCCCCACCCCGACACCGCCCCTGTCGCGACAGCCGCGGCCCCACAGCGCCCCCTGTGGGACCTGTCGTGATTCATGAGCATGTTGACGATGTCGCGGAACAGGTCGGGTTGGCGGGGGCTGAAGTAGCCGGAGCTGAGCTGGTCCACGGCCTGGCGGAGCTCGGGCAGGCGGTCGTAGAACTCCTGGGCGCGGTACCTGGGCACAGGTGAGACACGGGGGGAACAGGTGAGACACGGGGGGGAACAGGTGAGAGATGGGGGGGGCACAGGTGAGACACGGGGGGGCACAGGTGAGACAGATACGGGGGTACGAGTGGGGTCTGGGGGCTGGGGGTCCCGTGTCACCGTGGTGGTGGTACACTGGGGTTCAGTGGGTCCTGTGGGAGCCAGGGGGGTTTCATGGGGTGCAGTGGGGGTCCCCCCGATCCCCCGGGACCCCCACCCCTGTCTGTCAAGCGCCTCGACGTCGGGCACCCTCATGCCGAAGATGAAGAGGTTCTCCTCGCCCGCCTCCTCCGCCATCTCCACGTTGGCCCCGTCCATGGTGCCGATGGTCAGGGCCCCGTTGAGCATGAACTTCATGTTGCCGGTGCCCGAGGCCTCGGTGCCCGCCGTGGAGATCTGCTCCGACAGGTCGGCCGCCGGGATCACTGCGGGGCGGGACACGCGTTGGGGTCGGGGGGTGGTGCTGGGGGGTTTGGGGTGATGTCGGGGGGGTGTCACCACCCCAGGGTCTGTGGGGGCATTGCGGGGTGCCTGGGGCCGCAGCAGGGGGGTAACAGGGTGCTACTGGGGTGGCCGGCTCTGTTCTGGGGTGCCCAGGGTGGGTTTGAGGCAGGTTTTGGGGCTCAGGGGTGGTTTCGGGGTGCGTGCCCGTCCCCCTTCTCAGCCAGGGACACCCGACGGTTCTCCAGTAACAGCCCCCGCGCTGAAGGGGGGATTTGGGTGTTGAGGGTGGGTTTGGGGGGCTCAGGGGTGATTTTGGGGTTCAGGGGGTGTTTTGGGGGTTCGTTGGGGGGTTTCGGGGTTCCCCACCCTTCTCAGCCAGGGACACCCGGTAGTTCTCCAGGAACAGCACCCGCAGCCGATCTCCCACCGCCGGGTCGTTGTTCACCACGTCCCCGATCGCCGTCACCAGCCGGATGATCATCTTGGCCATGTGGTACCCAGGGGCTGCCTGGGGTGGGAACGGGAGGGTCAGGGGCACCCCAAAACTCGATGGGACCCCCAGAGACCCCCAAGCCCCCAGAGACTCCTCTCACACATCAGGACCCTCCCAAGCCCACAGACAGCCCCCTCAAAGCCCCTCAAATTCCCACAGGACCCCTCTGAGCACCCCCAACCCCCCCAACTGCCCTCATGAGTCCCCAGAATCCCCCCAGGCCCCTCCCAAAATCACCCCAACCCCCCAGGCTCCCCCCTCACCTTGCCCCCGATCATGATGGTTCGAGGCACAAAGGATTTCCCGGGGTCCTTCTTGATCCCTGAGATGGGAGGGGACCCCAAAATGGGGGGCCATGAATCAGGGGAGAGCCCCCAGATCGGGAAGGGGGTGGACACTGGGGCCTCTGGGGGTTCTCAGTGTCCTTGGGGAGAGTCCCCCCATTTTGGGTGGGGACTCCTGGCTCTAGGGGGTGATGTCGTGGAGGCAGCTGGGGGGGGGGGTCCCAGGGGGCTGCTGGGGGCTGGGTCCCAGTGGGTGGTTTGGGGGGATCTCCAGGGGGCTCTGGGGGGTTGTCCCCACATGGGAGGGCCCCAGGGAGATTTGGGGGTGCCCAGGTGTCCCCACTAATGGTTGTAGAGGATGATGACGTGCAGGCATTTGGGGTCCCCGTTGGGGTGTCTGGGGTGTCCCGGGGGCTGTTCCTGGGTGGGGGGTCCCGTGGGGGTTCAGGGTGTTTGGGGGGCAGTGCTGGCTGAGTTTGGAGGTCCCCACTCACGGTTGTAGAGGGTGATGATGTGGAGGCAGTTGAGCAGCTGCCTCTTGTACTCGTGGATCCGCTTCACCTGGACGTCGAAGAGCGAGGCCGGGTTCACCCGCAGCCCCGACTCCTTCTCCAGGTAGGCCGCGAACTTCATCTTGTTCTCCTGCAGGGAGGGTCAGCTGAGGGGGTTGGGGGTGGCCGGGACCCCACGGCACCCCCTGAGCCCCCCACAGCCTTCCAGAGACCCCCCAGGGCCAGTTCACCCCCCCCCCGACACCTTGACCAGGTACACCGGGAACTTCACCTTGTTCTCCTGGAATGGGGAGGGGCTGCTGGGACCCTCATGGGACCCCACAGCACCCCCTTACCTGCTTGACTTTGGCCACGTCACGGATGAAACTCTCGTCGTCCACGAAGTCCCGGAGCCGCCGGAGCTGGTCCAGGTCAGAGATGAAATCCTCCCCGATGCGCTGGGAAAGGGGAGGACCCCCAGAGCAGCCCAGGTGAGCCCAGGTGAGCCAAGGCAGTCCGAGGTGGTCCCATGGAGCCCAGGTGAGCCCTCACCTGTGCAATGACCTCGGCCAGGCCAGGGTTGCACAGCGCCAGCCAGCGCCTCGGGGTGATCCCGTTGGTCTTGTTCTGGAACTTCTGGGGCTCCAGCTGGTAGAAATCGTGGAACCTGTGGGTAGGGGCAGCATGTGGGGTGGGGGGACATGGCAGGGACCCCCAGGGACCCCCAGGGGGATCCAGGGAATCACAGAAACGCACGGGGACCCACAGGGAGATCCAAAGAGTCACAGGGACCCCCAGGACCCCCAGGGATGGGGACAGGGAGGGGGATGAAGGTGGGACAAGGGACAACAACAGAAAAAGGCCAAGAGGGACAGTGGGATGGGAGGGTTGCACAGGGATGTGGGGGGCTGGGGGTGAGCTGGGGGGGCTGTGAGGGGCCGAGGGGGATTTGGGGGCTGGGGGGGGGGCTGTACCCAGCATCCTTGGGGTATCCTATCCAGCATCTGGGAGTGGATACGGGTAATGGAGTCGATGGTGGGACCGTCGGACATGGGGGTTGTGAGGGGACGAGGGGGAAGCCAAGGGCCTGTGGGGGATTTTGGGGGGTCGGGGAGGCCCCTACACGCTGTCCTTGAGGATCTGGGAGTGGATGGCGGCGACGCCGTTGACGGCGTGGGAGCCCACGATGCACAGATGGGCCATGTTGATGCGTTTGACGGCGCCTTCCTCCACCAGCGACATCCGGCGCAGGCGGTCGTGGTCCCCGGGGAACGAGGCGTAGACACGCTGGGGGGGCGAAGGGGGGCACAGGGGGTTGGGGGGGACACTGGACCCCCAACTGGCCCCACTGCCCCCAACTGCCCCCCACTGCTGCCCCAGGGACACCTCAGCCACCGAGGCACCCCCTTGCTCCCCACTGCCCCACAACTGCCCCCCAAGTGTCCCCCAGGTGCCCCCCAGGATCCCAGGGGTTTGAGCTCCCCCTGCCCCCAGGTTCCCCTCCAAGGGCCCAGGTGTCCCCAGACCCGACTGCCCCCACCCCTCGCCCCCCCAGGTCCCCCCGTTGCCCCCCACGCACGTCGAGGAAGCGCTGGTTGATCTCGTAGATGAGCTGCAGGTGCCGCGGCAGCAGCGACTCCAGGAGATGGACCGGCCACCGCTCCAGGGCCTCGGGCAGCACCGTGTGGTTGGTGTAGGCACAGGTACGAACCGTGATGTTCCAGGCCTGGGGGGACCCACAGTGACCCACAGCCCCCCAGAACCTGCCCCACAGTCCCCCACGGCCCCCCAGCCCACGGCCCCGCTCCAGAGCCTCAGGCAGCACCGTGTGGTTCGTGTGGGTGTGAACTGTGATGTGCCGGGCCTGGGGGGACGTGGCGGGGGCCGGGGGGGACCCACAGCCCCCCACAGCCCCCAGCACACACCGTCACCCCCACCCGGGGGCACAGGGGGGACCCACAGCCCCCCACCACACACCATCACCCCCCACTCGGGGACACTCCTGGGGTCCCCCTGCCCCCTTCCCTGGGGGAACACAGAGCCTGGGGGACCCACGGCCTTTGGGGACCCCCCACCACGGGGTCTCGATGTCCCCCCCCGTTGGTGCCCCCCCTCCCCCACCTCATCCCAGCCCAGCCGCTCCTCGTCCACCAGGATCCGCATCAGCTCCGGGATGGCCAGGGACGGGTGGGTGTCGTTCAGCTGGATCGCGACCTGGGGGACACGGGGGGGTCACGGGGGGCTCAGGGCAGGTTTGGGGGTGCCCCGGAGGGGTCGGGGTTCACCTTGTCAGGGAAGGTCTCGAAGGAAGTTCTCACGGGGTCGCGGCTCCCGAATTTGGCGGATTTGAAGCGCCGAATGATGTCGTGGAGCGTCGCCGCCACCACGAAGTATTCCTGCTTCAGCCTCAGCTCCTTGCCCTCGAAAAACTGGGATAACCCCCCATAGCCCGCCCATGAGACCCCCAAAC